GTTCAAGTCTCTCCCCCCTTTCATTACCAAAATGGAAACACATTCACTGGTGGTAACCCTGCAGTGATGATGCTCAGAGACCCTTCGACTTCTGTGTTCAGCTCTGGTTTCATCCTGCTGCTAGCAATTCTGAAGGGGTAAGTCCCGCCATGAGACAGTAAGGAGCAGCAGGGACATGAAGTGGAGGAACCATGAGATGGATCCAAAGAGACTAATGAAACAGGAAGATCTGGGAACTATTATTTTAGGTTTCATCTCCATCAGGCCAGGTCTGATGGCCCCATCAAATCTCTCTGTATCTATGCTCCAGATCCTCCAGAAATCTGACAAGTTCCAAGCATAATTTAAAGAAAAACAGCCTTTTCATTCCCAGTACCTGGCTGGGAACAAGTAACACAACCATAGGTGTGTTACTGAGTAAATTTTACGGAGCATAGGAATAGAGGGCCAAAATGCTTGCCACATGTGTCCCCATGAGAGGCTACCATCAGTTCCAGAGATCCAGCCTTCAGCAGAGCTACCCTGTCTAGCAACTGGAAGGGCTAAGAAGTGGGTGATGAAATCTGCCTGAGTTCTTCATCCTCAGTGTGCACTGAGATGGTGAGAGGGAGTATACAGAGCATGAAACTCACTCAGACCAAAGGTCAGTCCAAGACCTAAGCACCACTTAAGTGCTATTTATGTCCCTGTAGTAGGCATAAGAGGAATAGAAGTGTGTACAGGCTTCTCGTAAGAGTGACAGTCATTCATGGTGAACAGCTTCTCTTCATCTTCAGGGGAAGCTCTCCTTACGAGTTGCACCAGCACTGTTCTCAGCCTGCTCACTACGTACAGTCCTGCCAACTCTCTTTTCTGCAGGGTGGGACAATATTAAAGGAAAGAGCATACAGTAAGCACAACACCCAGTTTGCACTCAAGGAGCAAACCCACAGAAACAATCAGTTCTTCTCCCATTCTGCTGTCCCCACACAGGCTCTAGAAAATGCCGGTGAAAGAGCGTGTTACTGTGCATTCCCCAGAGGCGGTGGGTTAGCACTCCTGAGACAGCCTGAACCGTCATTCTGCAGCTTCTAACAGTGGAGGCCTCAGCTAGCATCCAGGTTATTATTTTGCCTTTTTGTCTTTCTTTCAGGAGGTAAAGTATATGCTTTGAAAGGCTTAGAGTCAAAATAAAGCTGTGCTTACATAAATATCTAAAGTCATCTTTGAAGGTGTTTTTTGTACTATAAAAACACAGAAACAGGAGAAACAAACCCACTGGGGTACTGGGTTAAAAAGAAACACGTGACTCCTGTTTGGCTGCTTTATTCTGGCTTCATTCTCACACCAGTGTCACAAACCTAGAGAAGCACAGTGGTGAATCTGACTCAAAAGATTAAGTCTTTTGAAGAGTTTCACAGCACTGATAAGAGCTGAAAGAGAAAGTAAGAGATCTCTGAGAGCAGCTGTAATAGACTGTAAGCGAATAGATGGGTGGTCTCAGAAATTACCAGAAATGCTGGACTGGGCAGGACACATACAGGTGAAATTGATAAACAGGCACTGCATGAAGGATTAGCTTCATATATGGTAGGTCCTTCTGGCAGAAAAAGATGAGCAAAGCTGCCTAAGTTCGAGAGCAGTACGTGGCCTCCTGAACAAAAGGAGACTGACAGTGCTATTAGCCATCCTATGGAAGTGTGACTAGCAGAAGCTAAGAGAAGTAAAGAAAGACATTTTGTATCCCTTGGAGATTTCCCTTCCAATTACCAAGCAGACACCACTCTTCTTAAGATTTCAAAAAAACCTCCAAACCCCATCATATAATCATAACCTCACGCAGGTTGGGTGGGAGCTCAGGAAGTCTCTAATCCTGCTCAAAGACAACAGCAAAAAAAGGTTGCTGAGGGCTTTGTCCAGATAGGCCTCAGAAACCTCCAAGGAAGGAGCTTCCACAGTGTCTCTGGGCAGCCTTATCTTCTAATTCTCTTCACAGTAAGAAATTGTTTCCTTATACCCAGTCTAAACCTTCTCCCTTCCAATTTATGATCACTCATCCTCCTGTCATGCACTCGTGCAAAGAGCCCAGCTCCATCTTCTCAGTAACTTACTCATCGGTGCAGGTAGGCTTCTGCTAGGTGCTCCTCGAGCTGCCTCTCCTCCAGCTGAACAAGTTCAACTCCCTCAGCCCCTCCTCACAGAAGTTCTCCAGCCCCCAGTTATCTTTGTGACAATCCCCTTGATGCACTCAGCTTTATCAATGTCTTTCTGGTACCAGGCAGTCAAAAACTGGACACTGTGTTTCAGATACAGTTTTATGATTGTCAAGAAAAGAGGGATAATCACTCCCCTCTGTCTATCTACCACTGCCCTCCTGCTCCCAGCTGCCTTTGCTACTAGGGCACAGCAGTACCCCATGACCCCTGGTGCGTCAGTACACCCATCCATCCCAAGGGCAGGAGTTGGGATTTGTCCTTGCTGAATTTCATGAGGTTTCTGCCAATGTATTCCTACAATTTGGATAGGTCTCTCTGAAGCAGCCCCCACACTTATTCATTTTTTTTTCTGTTGCAAGCACACAGACCTTTTTCAAGATACATCTACAGATGTGCCTTCATTAATTCTTTGTCACAACTTAAGATGAACAATACAGAGAACCATTTTTTAAAGACCAAGATGACTCATTAGGAGCACCAAGACTGACGAAAGAAGAGTAGTTTAGAGACATGTAATTCGTTCTGCAAAGGAGCACAGCCTCTGCAGTAATATACATCCATCTTTTCTTTCTGTGTCCTTTATGAACAGAGGAAATCATCCTCAGGAAAAGTTTCACATTGGCATTTTATGGCCAAAATTCCTGACCTGCTCTAAGAGAAATGCCTGCTGAAAAATATATAGAAAAGTTTGCCCATCGTTGAAGCAAAGGCACTGGCAACTTTGTGGGCTATTGTGCACAGTGATGCTTTGCACATTTCTATGTAAAAAGAACTTCTCCACAAATCTCAAGATCCCAGGAGATTTGCTGGATTTAGTAAGAAAATCTAAGTGTATTCCTTCCCCCACCCCGTTGTCATGCAGAGTGAGAACAAAGAGGGTGATGTATTATGTTCTAGCTCTTGTATCACGAACAGATTTGGTAGGCGAGAAGTGGCTACAGAATTTCATATAATTATCATCTGCAGGAAGAGAAGGTTTCAGCTTGACTCTCACACTCCAGCAGAAGTTTGTGGTGCAGGTAGTTGGGAAAAAAAAATCCAGACACACACAAAACAAATTTTTAAAAAATCCTTTCTACTGTCAGCACAACGATGCCTAAGTCACTGCAATCTAGTTAAGGAGAAGACAAGGCCAAGCTACTACTAGAATCAGCTCTCCAACCAGAAAGGCCATTTAAAACGAGGCAGGACAGACCCAGACTTCCACGGCCACCACACATTTTAAACACACTGTCCTAGCAGGTGGCACCAGATGGCACTCTTACACAAAAGCTTCTTTTTCACAGGGTCTGCATGCAGGCAGAAGTTGTGTTTAACTATAAAGAGGTACCACCTATATTGGTTAGGGGTTCCCTAACTGATTTCTGACTGCAGCCCATGTTGCACCTGGGTAAAAGGGCTGGTGCCAGTACATACTATTTTTATTTCAGTAAGGGAATAAATGGTCTTGGCATAAAGCACTTATCAGCATAGCTTCATCCACACCGGATGTACATGGAATTAGGGAAAGCACAAGACTCCTAATGACAGGTCCCTCAGATATGAGAAGGCAAGGCCTCACAGTGCGAGCAAGCATCAGTCTTGGGGTGATGTGCCGTTGGACGGTCTGCCTGAACACACCAGGACTCTGCTGCCTCCTGTAGAGCCCAATGGAGTCAGTCCTTGAGGCACAGTGGTATCTTGGAAATTAGGAGTTGGCAAGATTTCTGAGAGATGGAGCTGCCTCCATAATCTCTTTCCCAGACCCAGTGTGCCTCTGCGCGCCAAGTGCAGTGCATTTAACATTTATGCAAATTCTGCATCCCTACTGTCTCCTTCACAAAGGAGGTATCACAAAAGGTTTTAGATATTTCTTGCATAGCAAAGCAGGAGCAGATTCATCAGTGGATTCATAATCTCCCTGTCCTCTGTTCCTATTGCAAGGGTAGTCCCCACAGTGCTACACCAGGAAAGCGGGAGGTTCCGCATATTGTGGAACGCCAGTATTGTGACAGGGGAGTTATAAGCCATAGCTCAGATCTCTCTGTCCAGGGCAGGCACAGTCCCACGACTGCAGCCGCTCAGAGGCCAGTGGAATCCCTGCATGCCCAGGATGATGCCTTCCCTCCAAACCACCTCTAGGGTGGGGCCCTTGCCCCTTCTGCCTCAGGGCTGGGTGCTGCCTGGCAGAGGGGCTGCAGGATCCGCAGCACAAACTTCCACAGAAAGCTCGCGCTGTGCAGCAAAGAGCCTGTGTGTTGCTCAGGGAGAGCTGCTGGACTGAGAACTTGCCTGACTCTTGGGAGAGGCTGGACAGTTTCCCTAGAGGTGAACAATGCCCCTTTGGTTTCTTGAGACTGGCAACACATTTTCCTCCCAAGTCACTCTTCCCCCTCACCCTTCTCTCCAAAGTAAATCAGCCCAGCCTTAAGGCCAAGCGGGAGATGCTTCATCTCCCAAATGTCACTCTGAAGAAAAGTTACAGGCAAAGAAGAGCAGAGGCGCTGAGCCCAAAGCTCTCCCGACGGCACCCGGCCGTGCCTCCAGTGCTGCCCGAGCCGACCCACGGCAGGTTGTACACACTCCGCCTGGCACCACACGCTTCTCCCCAGCCATTACGCTCAAGAAACGGCAGTGTAGAAAAAAAATGGACTTCGCCGGCGGGGTCTCCCCAGAGGAGGGGGGGTCCAGGGGGACACCCGGGTACCTGCAGCCCCGGACACCCCGAACCCAGAGCCGGGACGCCGAGGCGAGCCCGGCGGCATGTCCCGTCCCCGCTGCCGGGGCCGGCCCGCCGGGGCGGGGGTGCTGCCGGCTGTCCCTTACCACATTGCTGAGGAAGTCCGCCTCGCTGAAGTCGCTGAAGTCGAGGAAGCCGGTGCCGGCGGCAGGGAAGAGCCGCTCGGCGGGGAAGGGCTCCAGGATACTGTCCATGGTGCCCGCGGCGCGGGGGCTCCGCCGCCCCCCGCGCTCGGCCGGCCGCGCTCACTGCGGCCGCACGGTCCCGCCCGCCCCCCGGCGGCGGCGGCCCATGGGCGGCGGGCGCGGGGCAGCGACCCGCCGGCCGGGACGGGAGCGGAGCGCCGAGCGGTGCCGCTCGGGGTGCTGACAGTGCCCCGCTGCAGAGGGGCCGGCCGCGGCCCGCCCCTGCCGCGCTCCGGGAGCCACCGGGGCGGGACTTCCCTCGCAGACACCCCCCGAGGCAGCGCCCCCGCCTCCCAGGCAGCCCCCGCACCGCCGGGGGAGGCGAGGCCGGACGCTTCCTGGAGCTCCCCGGGGCGCCCGCGTCCCTCCCGGGACGGCGGAGGGACCCGAGGGCGCTGCTGGTAGAGCCGTGTCAGTTTGATGAACTGAACAAACCCTCCTTTCAGCAGCCGACCGGCCGCTCCTCCGCACCCCTCGGGGAGCAGCGCCGGGAAAGATGGGCATTCCGCGGGGTCGGGGCACGAAAGGCAGCCGGCAGGGAGGTCTCCTTGCCTCCGCTCCCCTCAGCGGGCTTGCAGGTAGTCCTGGCTGTAGCAGCACATGTGGCTGCTCTGTAATTAAAGAGTTGGGCACCATTAAAGAGCTTCAGGAAGATTATATGGTTTCAGATAAATAGGATTATGGATCCCTGTCCTCTCTGATCATTACTCCAACCAACACTCAGGAAAACCACTTATAATAATCCTTTTGAAGAAGCCCTGATGTTTTATTAATCTCTCCCTGTGTTCATGGCCCCAAAGAGAATGGACTGGAGTTCCAGCTCCCAGGAGGGGCTTTTCTTGGTCACAGTCATACAGAGGAAAAAAAAAACAACAAAGGTGCTGGTGCATCTCTCCAGGAGGAAACCTGTCTGAAAGTTGCCAGCAGTAAGGGTCCTGGTAGAGAAGTGCTGATCTGAGGTTGGCTGGAGCCTGTGCTTGAACCAGACACTGGGTTTTCATCCATCCAGGCTCTTCCTCCACATTCCCTGTGGGTGTCAAGACTAACAGCACAACCCAAGGTGCTCCTTGGCTACTCATTGCACAAGCAGCCGCATCCTGCACACAAAAGCCTTTATACTTGCACACACAATAGGCTCTTTCAGTTACATTTACTTTTACCTTATGTTTCAGTCAAGTGTAAAGAGTCTTTGGGTAAAAGGTCAGAGACATAAATTCAGCCAGGATGGAGTTATGCTGAGAAAATAGTGCTGTTCCTCCTTCCTTAATGGTAAAGAAACCTCTTTGTCAGTGTGGATGCCAGTGCGTTTAAAGGGGGGAACACAAAAACTTTGCCACTGTAAGATAAGGAGAAGAAATATGTCCAGATCCTTCAGCAAGAACCAAACCCACCTCCAAGGAAGAGAAACAATGTCTTTCCTTTAACATCCCAGTCAGCAGGGTTCTCAGCTGTGAGGGGTTGAGAGACAAAGCCCTGCCATAGCAATGGAGTGATAGCCCACGGTCATGGAGCACGGGCAGAGCCACAGCAGGTGCAGCTTCACCTCCCGCCGCTAACCAAACACGGATATTGCTTCCTGAGCTGCAAGGACTCACTGGTGAAACCAAGAGTTTCTGGTTCAGTGCCTTGCCCAAGCTAACACAAGGAAGCCTCTTCTCAGGACACATGCTGTATTTATCCTCAGGCCGAGGAAGCTCAGATCATGTCAGTGAGAGTTTGCACAGCATGGGTGGCAGTGTCATCAGAAAAGGTCAAGCAAAGTAAACGTCACTTGTTTGTCTGTGCTCTGAAGGGAAAATGCTTTGGCATATTCAGACAGGGATTGTGAAATCCATTCTGAAGATTAAAATGAAACCCTGCTTCTATTCAATACTTTTAGTACTGAGCATAACTGCCCAGATGCAGCTCCTCTGCCTATCAATGCTGCACCTCTGCAGGCAAGGAAGAATCGTAACAAATCTCCCATTTTCATATTGCTCTGGAAAGCTGCTCTGTCCCATCTTGGAGAGCTCTTATAGGGACCCCATCCCTAGCACTTGTGTAGGGCTTTGAAACAGACACTTTGCCCATGTCAGACACAAGTGCAGTTCATTAAAGGCAATTCAAATGTTACCTTGGTAGTCAGAGAGTATTGTTGCTGACCCCCTGGAGCCAAAAAGGAGAGGTATTTTTGCAGGCAAGTAGTTTTGTGCTCCAGAAGAGACTTGGGGACAGGTAAACTGTTGATGGGTGAGGGGAGGTGATCACAATTCAGAAAAACTCAGACGTGCTGCTGCAGCTGGATGTGAGTGTCCACAGTGAGGGGGGAAAAGGACAGGCTGAGCAGCACTGCTGCAGCAGAGGCCTGGCAACTGCAGCGCTTCGACACTTGAACAGGGTTAACAGCATCTCATGGCTGTGAAGAAGGCAAATGCCATGTGTGGATACAGATTTAGGAATCCTCCTACAAAACCTTTAGGATGTGAATTTCCCCTTCCACTCTGCAAAAGACCGGTGCAAAATGTGGTGTTAGCCAAGATACCATGTCTCTCTGAGGTGCCACTCCTCGGGCAAGATGGGGCCTAACTGCGCTGGGTCCAGAGAAGAGCAGTGGCATAGATGGGAGAAAAAGTGAACCCTAAAAAAGGACTGAGGGAATTGGGCTGCTTTGGTCTAAACAGGCGATTTTCATGCCAATGGTCTTTAGGCATTCAAAGAGCTGCAGGAAATAGGAAGGAAAGAAATGATCTCCATTGCCACACTGGAGGGGACAAATGGTAAGAGGTGAGTGCCTGGGAGGTAGCAGTGTTACCCTCACTCGAGCACCTTTAAAAGCAAGATCTGCAGCCGTCTCTTGGGACACAGATATGGTGGATCAGGAAGCAACCTTGAGGCAGGGCCTGAATGACATAATTGTTCAAATTCCTTTTCAGCTCCATTTTCTCTGATTTTGCACTTAGATTTATGTGTAATCTGCTTATAGCAGAAGACTGAAATAGCAACCAAGTATGTTCAAATTGAATAAGTCACACTCACAACAGGTAAGCCTTCCCAGCCTCACAACATCTGATACTGCAAATGCACATGTACGACGGAGATCATTTTATCACTGCTGAGAAGTGAATCATCATCCCAATTATCATAAGAAAGGGATCCCACTCTCCTGTGCTCTGTCCTGCGTGGTCCTGCTCCCACAGCTTGCCTTTATGTCCATGGAGAGAGAACCGCAAGTCTCTCATCATACCACTTTGCATTTGCTTTGCCTTCACCCTGCACCACTGTGAGCAAGACATGCAAGACAAGGTAAGCAGTCCCTGGGCTTGAACACATGGACAGCAATCCAGGCCATTCTGCAGCCTGCCAAGTTGAAGCTTTTGGCTTCCCCACAACCAGACTGTGCCAGGAGGTTTCACAGACTCTTGAGGATGAGTGTTTCTTGAGGAATGTAGGGTGAGATGTCGGTGATTTTCGGTCTGCTGCGTGCACGCTCTGTTGTTACAGGAGGGGTCATCTGCCTGGTGATTGCAGCCTGGACAGCTGGTATGGGAATGATTCACACTGTTAGAACTGCTTGCGTTGGGGGTCAGGCTGGCTCCTTTGGACTCCTACTACAGCCAAGCTTCTACTTCAAGTGTGATGAAAGATACCACTTGTCCTGTTTATTCTTCTGGTGTTGGTGTTCATATGGATGGAATAGCCGGTTTCTGCCACAAGCTATCTTCCTAGCCACAAAGGCTTTCTGAAGCCATGCAGGTTCCATACTTTGGCCCTTCAGAAGCTCTTTGTAACAGTCATGCCTTTATTTCACTTTGTCTTTTCTTTGGATTTGATTATTTCTTCATGTATTGCTTTGGTGTGGTTTTGCTCACTGTTTTGTCCAACACAGACAGAGGGAGCAACTGCTGTGTTGTAGGTCCTCTCTGCTTCTGAAAGCCCACTGAGAGCAAGGTGAGGATGGAAATTGGACTTTCAGCCTAGTTTGAAGATGTGGCGGTACTGCAGTCCCCAGACAGGCTCTTAGGAGTCAGGTCATGTGGGATGACACAAGCAGTTACATATCCAGCCCTTGGGCTGTGACTTCTTGTAGGTTTTTATGGGGACAATTAAAAACCCAGGGAGAAGTCAAGATGGGGGAAGGGATACAGCAAAACATCCTCTAGCAAAAGGTAACTTTTGAGGAAGGACTTGTAGTCCCTGAAGCCTTTTTCTGCCCTCTGCTCCATGACCCCACCTCATCCAGGATATCTGTCTTCCTTTTGATTTCCTTCCAGTGGCTGGTTTAAACTCTCTCATACACACTTTTCCCTCCAGCCAGCTTCAGCTGCTTTCCATTTCCTTCCTCCTCATGTGTGATCTCCCAGCCAGGTACCCAGCACACCTGCTCCCACCACCAGTGGGACAGAGAGAGAACTCAGCACAGAGATCACACCTCTGGCAGCTCCCTGCTAAAACCAGAGAACACCTGTGAAACCAGAGTGTTCATAAGTCTGCTGCCACAGCTGAAAGAGGGAATGAATTGTATTCTGCTTGTTGCTTTGTGGGCAGCTACACAGAACATCTGCCTGCAAGCAGACACATTTCTCCAGTGACCACCAAGTGCAGGTAGGTGTGAGCCATGCTGGAGCACTGCAGAGAAGTGCAGACACACACGTGTCCATGTGATAAGGAAATGTGCACCACAGCTTGGGGTTTTTCCCCTCTATCTTGCTTGGGAAGTAGAGGGGAAAGTGAAGAGCGTATTAATTGCATGTTTGCATATGGCAAGGATCCATGAATGCTGTGGTTTCAGTGAGCACCCTAATGCTATGAGAGGAATGAAAGGGAAGCCACAGAACTCAACACTGCAATTATTATTCTTTCTGGGGTGAACTTGGGGCCCTTGAATAGATCTAAATCAGCTTTGCAAACAAGGAGTGAGTGACAGGCAGGTAAGGGGGGAATGCAAGACCTAGGGAAAGGAAAGCCTTGAATACAAGACACCAGATCCTAGCAATATCCCTTCATAGAACTCCTTTAGTATCCTGGGAATGTGGCTGAGCTGCTGGTGGCAGGATTAGCTATGTCAGAAAGCAAAGCCCCAAAATAGTAAATGGATACGATACTATAACAA